GCGAAAAGCATGAATCGTTATCAAGACGGATAAAATTATAAAAGCAATAAGTGTGCCTTGTTCGAATGTTCTAAATATATATATCGATAATGATATGTAACCAAAAATAGTGTCGAAATGTTCGCCGAATTCGTCGAATTTATTTCTAATGTATTTACGATTTTGAAAAATAGGTAAGGTAAATGAAATAAAAACATAGAGTTCGCGTTTTTTTGTTTTGGTAAATTCTTCTCTCTTACAAATAAATAAATAAATAAATAAAATAAAAAAAAAAGAAAAAAAAAAAGAAAAAAAGGAAAAAATAAAAAAAAAGGAAAATCGAGAAATGGAGAAAGAAAAAGAAATAAAAAAAAGACAAAAGTTATCAATTACATCAATTATAATTAAAGATTTAGCGATTTACGTAAATATCGAAGAAAAAATTCTTATAAGAGAAACGAAAGATGAAAAGAAAATCATCCGTTAAGTATCTTGTGTTCCTACAAGCAAGCATTGACAAATTCTTCCAAATTAGCATTTTTTGTAAGCAAGAGAAAAATGAGAAATGATGATGAGCGAGCGAGGAAGGGAGGAGAATTGAAGAAAACGAGGAGGGGAAGGGAGAATGTTTGTAATTGTTTTATCTATATACTTTATGTTCTATTACACGCACACATGCGCGCGCGCGCGCGCACGCGCACACACACACACACATACACACACAGAATTCCGAATAAACATTCGGTCGAATGAAATATTTTGATATATTCTTGTGTACCAACCAACCAAGATTATTCTACGAACAAAAAAAAAAAAAAAAGAAAAAAAAAATAAAAATAAAAAAAATAAAAAAGAAAAAAGAGAAAGAAACGAATGCAGATGATACGTATTTAACATTTACAGGATGTTAAAAAAAAAGAAGAAATAAAAAAAATTTAGAAATATTATATTATCTAGAATATTGATTACGTAAAAAAAACATTTTTACTTGTTATTTTTACTTATATCTCGATTTTAATTATTTCAATTATTTCATAACTTTTAACTTCTTAAATACATATTTTTGACATTCTGTATAAATATGATTACTTACATTCGGATATCCACGTACAGTATATTAAATCTTTATATAGAACAAGAAATTTTTTTTTTTATTTTTGTAATGTATACAGAAGAAAAATATTTTATCTTAGAAAGGATAATCAAGATAATAAAAATTCTCAAATTCTGATATAAATACGTATGTTTCCTTTTTTACGTAATTTATTTCTTGGAAAAGAAAAATGGGGGAAAGAAAAAGAGAAACATAAATCTTTACAATTTTATGAAAAAAATTTATAAGGCAAAACACTAACTATTAAAATTTAATTAATTTTTTAATATCGTTACTTGGTTTGGTGTAACATTATGTCTTTCTTATCGGATTCTAGGCGATTCTTTCCTCGTCTCTCTTCCTATTACTCCCTCGTTTTCAAGCATAAGTTAAAACGTTTATTCGTAAATTTTGTCATATTTTAATAAGTTCTATAATCATAATTTTTCTAAAGAGAAAAAGCGAAAATCTAAGTGTTCTTGACAACAGTGTGGGAAAATTTATCAATTGATAAAGATTTCCCATAGATGTTTTCGATCGATTTTTTCGTAATTTTTTTTTTTTTTTTTTTTCGGATTACACGTCACGCATAATCGCGGAAAAAAACGAAAGCGTTTCATTAAATTCTTCTCCCAAGATGATTATGACGACATTCATCTTTTATGTGCATACGAATATAATTTTTACCGATTTAATCTTTCTTACCAATTAATAACGATTTTTTTTATAGATTCAAAATATTAAGCGACACAATGCTGTATCGAAAGTAAGTACTTTTAAGTTGAATTGTATACATGGTGTATATCGAGTGCCATAAAAAAGGCTTCTTTTACAATGTCTTTTAGACACGATTAGTAGATATTATAATTATAAGGAAGCGTTTCTATTCCAAAATAATATTATCATTTTAGTATTAAATTACAGCGATAGCGCATACTCCGTTCCGTTTTTTCTTTTTCTTGCTTTATTATTTTCTTTTCATATTATACGTATAAACTGTAATATACGCATTATGCACGCGTATCAAGGTGAACAATTTTTTAAGAGTTTGATCCTATTAAAAAAAAAGAAAAAAAAAAAAAGAAAGAAAAAAGAAAAATGTGGAAAAATGTTGATCACATATAATATCGTTTAAGTTAAAATTCTTTCAATTGTTGTAATCTCGATCGAATACGTGTTGTGAATGAAAAATACATATATACGTGCCTGCCCGTACGCTCACATAGATTATATTGTATTGTTTGATTCAAAAATTTGTATAAATAAAGTACGTTGTAAATTTATTATTACTATAAGTTAAGTTTTTTTTTCAAAAACCATATCTAACTTATATATTTGCATTTATTCGTTATCCATAATACATTCAATATTAATAATTTTGTAATTTTTTCCAATGTCTCTTCAAGACTGCTTAGACAATCGGTTACGATATGAAAAGGTAGAAAAAAAAAAAAAAAATAAATAAGATGGAGAAAGAGAAATTGATGAAACATGAACAGTTATTTGGAGAGATAAGGATAGTTGGAGAAAATTCGAAAGGATTCAATTTCGATACCGCATAATAAAGCGATGGAAACGAAAGTCAATGTCGAGTTTAAGCAATGAATGTACATATGTATGTACGTAAGTGGAAAGTAAGTAACGTAACGTAACGGAGGATAAGACGGTTCGTAAATGAGAAGCATCGAGTGGATTACCGGTCAGTTCGAAACCGAGTCAGTAGTCTTCTGCAATATACAAACGGGAGTCATTGTGCGATATCTCATAATCGGTATTGAACTACCTGACTGAGCTCAGTTTGATAAAATAATAACGATAGTGTTGCGCATGTGCATCTATCAAAATATAAACTTAATAATAATAGCGATATATATATATATATATATGGATATAGAAATTAAATACATACATATATATATATATGTTGCGCATTATTGATTTGAGTATTTACGGAATGAACGATAAATATTTAAGATATGTAAGAGACGGCAATATTGATCGATTAATTGGGTAATCAGAAGATAAGGAAGAAGATAAATCGACACAAAAGGATAAAGGAATCGATCGATTACGGTTTCTCGTTTGTATAGCGGACAATGAGAAAATCGTGATGATAGGTATAATTATACTGTAATTATAAGTGTCCCTGTTGATCAGTGTCTATTAAAATTAGCCCAGTTATAGTACAACGACCATTCTCCGATGATTATATCATCTCGATGAAACAAACAACGTGTCTGTCATAAATCGAAGGTATTTACGTTGTTTTTTTTTTTTTTTAATACTTTAATGTTTCTTCTCTTTTTATTTGCATGTATTCTTTGTAATTTCTAATTAATTAATTGCAATTTTCTTTCGATTTCTTTCCTTTCAAAAAATATCCTTCTCACTTGCCAATTAATTTGTACCGTTCGAAAATCGAAATAATAGTCGTTTAAATAGCCATATAAAAAAATGACATCATTAGTTTGTTTTATTTCTCTTAACCGCATATCGATCGCATTGTGCTTCCGATTCTGGAAAGAAGTACATTTTTTTAATACGTAAATGTTATTTATTATAACATGTACATCTATCTATGTTATTTATTTCATACTTAGTTTCTCGATATACAAAACTTTCGTCTATTTAATATCGAATATTTTTTTTAAAAATTCTTATCAGTTCGCATATACTATTTTTGGAATACAATTTTTGTGTGAAGAACACAATTTATAAAAAGGGTGCAACTAGTATAAGCATGGAAAAGCATTCTTTTTTTTTTTTTTTTTTTTCGATGTAATAATACTGAACGATCGGGGGTGAAAGATCGGGAAAAGTAACACGTTTGTTTTTAGAAGCAAATAACGAGAGTAGAAAAAAAGAGAAGTAGGGAACAAAAATATATAACAGAAATAAGAAAAAAATTGTATTTTTCTTACATACTACGACCCAAATTTACGATAAGAGTTAACGGTACGTACCAAAAACGTATGCGACGTGATTACTTGATCGAACGATGGTCAAGATTCGATTCGTCGAAGGAGCGAGTTTCATTTGATTTTAATTTCGATGCACGTATCGACGCGTCAATCGCGCTAGGAATACCAATAGAACTGTATATTCGTATATATATATATATATATATATACGATGTATAGAATTTGCATTGTACGTTATATCGGTTAGTCGATCCATCTTATCGTTCCCCTTAACTTTTTTCGTTGGTTACTACAACGAAAAATACTTCACGTTGCGCGCGCATAAGATAATAGATATTTTCACGCTATGCTGAATATATATGTATAAATAAATATTTAGTTGCATGATTTACCAAAATGTTCAATTTTGGTAATGTAAAACCAAAACGCGATTGGGATTATTGGGACTATTGGCGATGCCCTACATCGTTGCTCGACACTTTCCATGCATACAAAAGATATTTTACACATTTATTCATCCATGTATACGATGTTACATAGCTAACGGGAATTTCGTTAATTCAGGATCCTTGATATGGTACAACCTGCTTTCGTTTTGTCTAATGGTTAATATATCGACGTAAAAAAAAAAAAACAACGTGTTTCTATCTGCTTCTATCCTTATTCAATGCACCGCATTGTATGGAAAAGAAAAATATACGAGTCTTAATCTTTAAACAGGTTCACGAATAATCAATCGATCATTAGTTTATCGGAGAAAATTTCTCCGTGTATTAGGAGGAAAAAAGATGGAAGGAAAACGGAGAATACTGGCACTGATTGGATTAATATTATTTCTCAAATGTACGGGTGGCGACAACAGGGATAATAACAAGGAACATTTATTCTCCCATCATCGACAGAAAAGATTACTTTGGATAACTAACGATGGTCGAATTGCATTACCACCAGGCACGATAATGACGATAACTCCAACGTTGGCATTACCATTCGTCAGATATCCTCCCTATGGTTTTCTTAGCAACATGACGATCAGTCTTCCTTTTACTAGTAAGTAAACATCACTCGATCTCTTAATTTATTTCTCTGGTCTTATTCCTTTCGTGCCTGATATATTAATCTCTTTATCACTTTTGTTGCAGTCGATTTCGACAAACTTGGTTTAACCGACAATGAAAATCCTTATGGCGTTTTACCATCGGCGTTTGACACTACTGCGAGAGAGCAGGGATCGAATGCCGCGGAATTTATCGCGATGTTCGTAAAACGTGGAATCGGTAAGAGAGAGGCGATCCCAGATCTACCAAAAAATATACTTTATGGAGGTGAAAGAGCTCTTTTGTATGGCACCGCCGAGGATATGCTCGGAAATTTTGGTTTAAATGGGAAAGCTTGTTTATTAAGGGCTATATGCGAAGTACAAGGACATCCCTTGAATAATTTCGGTTTAATCGGGGAAATGCTCAAACTATTTTTCACGTAAGTACCTTTCGTATGTATAAATAATACAAGAGTAGTAGAGTTAAATGCACGTTAAAATACGTATATAATTAAAAAACTTGGACGGTGTAAAACGATGTAAAAATTTGTCTTTTTTAATAATACGCTATAAATAAATTAGAAATTTCTCGCGTTAAAAATTGTCCGCGTTTATTAATTTTGTATCGATATTGATGGAATATAATTGAAAAAGATAGAATATAATTAAAAATATTTTTATATGTTTTATACTTTTTATATTTTTTATTCGTATTTTTGCCGCCCTCATAAAAACTAGATTTAATTGCAAAATTCATTTCGATTAATTAAGAAAGAAAGAATCAATTTATTCTTATAAATAATAATATAAATTATTAGTAAATATAATTAATAAATTGTTAATAATAAAGATTATAAGATATCAGAATATAGGAAAACAAACAACATTTGAAATCTTACGATAATGTGAAATTAGTGACAAATGTGTATGCGTGTTATTGTATATCCATTGTATCGATCCTTGTACGACGAATTAATCATCGATAAATAATTGTTTAAAGAATTTCATAGGAGAAATTTCTTTGAAGAACTTTCAGATTCAAGTGCGAATTTAAAAGTGCAGAAATGTTTGATAGAAAATTAATTATTGATTAATTTTCAATGTTGTATTTCTAACAAGTATATAAGATATAATCGAAGCTGATGGTATATTTTTTTGTCTTTTTTGCGCTTCTTTTATGTGACATTATATACTTACTAATGCATCCTGCTATATTAATAACAAATTGGAGCTTCGGATATATGTATGTATATATATATATATCATATATACATGCTGAGATAGATGGAAAATATTTATTGATATTTGCCTGTATAATTTAAAATTAAAAAATAAATTTTATCGATAATTTACAAGATTAACGATAGAAATTCTATAATATTTAAAAATATCTAACAAGTAAATATTTTAAGTAAAATTGTATGTTATTTAAATGTTTTAAAATTAAAAATTTGCAAAAATATTTTAAAAAAATTATTAAATTTGAAAAAATCACAAAAAGGAAATATTTCTTCTTTTTTATAATAAAATATATATATATATTTACATATATATATATTATACAAAATATATGTAAAATATATTACGATATATCAAAATAATAACGAATATATACATAATAAAAAGCATGTATACCCGCATATATATATATATATATATATATATATATATATATATATATACTAT